CATCTGCCATCCCTTCATTATCCGGATCATCATCGTACTCCTCTTCGTCTGTATCGTCGTCGTCTTCGTCTTCTTCCTCCCCTCCAGGTCCTCCTTCGTCATCACTTCCACCCTTCTCGCTGTCGCCCTCACAGAGTTGAACCTCGTTAACGTCCGATTGTGGGCTATCCGCGAGGTCTGCATTGGTACAATCCCTCGTCATCTCGCGCAGGACGGTAGGATGTCCAATCCCATAGGGCGTATAACGCATGAACATGTCCCTGTCGACGAATCTAAGCAGTCGTCAGTTCGAGTAAGGAGAGGAAGATAAGAATTGCACTCACATGCCAACATAGTAAGCCTCCCAATCGTCTGACTCATCATCTTGACATGTGAATGACTTTCCTGGGCGAAGCGAGGTCGTCCCGCGCCCACAAACGAAAGCCGGAATTAAGTGGGCAGCTCGGATGACTTGGCCGGGATCTAGAAACCCGAAGGCATCACAGTCAGTTTCTTCAACGAAGGCAATCTTTGGAAGTCGGGCGCAGTTCATCCCTGACCGATGGCCAGTCATGGGTGCCAGCCATCTAACATAAAGCACTTCGATTTGTTGCTTCTTGACCGGACCATCGTTATTCAGCATTACATCCAGGTAATAGATACCCAGAACGCGGGCATACCAGTACGGGTGCCGAGGATTTGTTTCCCCAGATAACACCATAACATCACGGTGCGTCCGAGAATTTATAGTGTCATATTCTCGTCGCAGGTCGTAAGTAGTATAATGGACCTGTGAAAATGAATGATCGGAAACTAACGAAAGTCATGATGCATACAACATACCTGCATTGTTTGGACAACATATAGTCTGTTGTCCGAGATGATCACTGAATTGCGCTCCTCGTTAGTGAACACATGATCACAATGTGTGATATCTAACTTTCGAAGGCGATATAGTAAATGATTCTTGAGTTTGGGCACGAATGCCTGCACATTGTCGTGAGCAAGATGAACAGCAATGAATACCAGTACCTACTGTTACAGCTGGGTCATTATTATGGCCACGAAGAAAACGGAAGATATCCATCGGATTATTTCGGCTAAGCGTCGGTATGTAGTGGTGGTCTTTCAGGTTGAACGTTGCGGGCAGGTCGACCGGCATTTGCTCGCTGGTGTACAAACTATGAGCCGTCTGAGACACTCGCCAAAGGACGCGACGACGATGCTCGTGCTTGGCGAGTTGCGCTGGGGTATCTAGTTTACTAGTTAATGGATAAAAGGCTTTTAGCGCTCTATGCGCTAACTCTCCCTGCCCCGAGATCAAATTGAGATGGAATATATATAAAATGGATATTCACGTACAATTTGCGATGTAAACGAATCTATCGTCCCAAAGAGCTGGATTGCCTGTAGATAATCCCCCATGGCGTGGAACTTGTAAGTATTCATGTTGAATTTCTTGGTCCTTCGGCCGCCACTCCCCGCATCTGGAATATCTGAGGCTAAGCGTTGACGGGCGGCCTTGCGCTCGCGAGCAGCCCTTTCTTTCGGCAACTCCACGGTGGTGAACGCACTACAAGTAAAATTTCGGAACTTGCGCAGTTGACGTGTGAGGCGCTTGAAAGTCTCATCCAACACTGACAAAGTGCTCTCGGAATGCATCCTTAATTTTGCGAGAGCATGCCATTGGGCAAACCTATACAAAAGTGTCTGTATAATTTCATCGTGGTCTGGTGGAAAAAGGCCTTCGAAGACCGGCATAGCACACTGAGATAGATGTCAAAAACGCGCATCGACAACTTGGCCAAAAAGACGGACCTGCAAAATGTCTTCAAAGTCTCGCGCTGCGAGTCTTTTCATCTCGGAGGTGTTATTAGCAAATTTGCGTATGACCCCGTTGCCATATGACGGGATACAGCGAAATCTAATATCAACACCATCATTTCGAAATCCGTGAGGAGAGTTATGTGCGACAAACCTGTTGTCGAGAGTCGCAACCAGACGGTCACCGCCAGGAATCGCATGCAGTAAACGGATGAGGTGTGTGAATAAAGCCTTCCATGTTCCTAGCTCACATTCGTGCATAAAGTCGACAACTAGCATGCGAAAGGCATCAAATCCTAAGGGTCCGAGTTTTTCTACAAACGAGTTCTAGTCGAAAGTCAGGTACTAAACGAAGTTGATATCAAAGGTACTCACCAGAGTTGGCACCCATGACCCTTCCCCAAGAGTTGCCTGCACCTTTGAGCCGTCGACAGTGTTTCCAGACTCATAAATGAATCCGCGCGCGCTAATTACCTTCTCCAGACAGTAGGTCCGAAGGTTAGTTAGGCGATCTCGCATGTCTTTCACCAAGCCCAGAAGATCAAACGCGGCTTTCGGCATGAGACAGCGTGGACACGGGCAAGAGCCCATGTCCTTGATTGCCGCTATTAAAACCCTGAAATATTGATCAGTATTTCGATAAGAACACGGAAAAAGCGTACTTTTCTGGATAATCAGCCGAGTAAGTGAATATACGCGGAAAAACTCTTCTTAATATGCCATCCGGACACCGGAGTACAATTCCATGGCGGTAGGCTTCAAGGAACTCCGCATCTAGCAAGTGTTTCCAGCATGCATGAAATAAGTCCCGTCGACAATGCGTGTGAAGGGCTGTTATACCACTTTTCGATATCTGGGGTAAGAGGCTGAGAACGTCCTTGACACGATCCGGGAGCTAAAAATCCAACTTGAGAGAGACATACGATACTGGAAACAATGAACATACCAAAGGAAAAAATCCGACAAGATGGCACGCACCAGATTTGGGTGCTGAGCTTGCATACTTAGTTAAATTTCCAAAGTACAGATAAAGGGGCCATGCTTTGGCAGTTCCGAAGGTTGCGAGATGAGTCGCGTCGGAGAAGAACATTAGTCCAGCAATGACGCGTTCGAGTGAGCAGCCATGTTCTTTTGGCTGCCTATGTAGATCATCCTGGGCCTGAAGCCACGAGTCAGAGGTGTAGAGCTCGTCGAACACGCGTTCTTGATGGCCATCCGATAAGGGGTCCCTCCACAGCCGCTTGAAAGGAAGAAGATGGAAGGCATTGGCTTGGATGTCAGCAAATGCCGAACGAATAACGCCTACAAGTGGTCGATAATGGAAGCCCGGAACGATAAATGCCGTGGATTGGTCGTCTTTCGACTTTGTGGGTATGTCGAGAGTGATATCCGTCTTTAGCCAGTCATCGGGAAACGTGACGGTCTCCTTTCCTCCGTTGTCCAATGCGCGCAAACTCCTCTTCACTGTAAATCCATCCAGATCACTAGGATTGAAGTCCTCGGCCCGAATGACGTCTTTAACGAGACGTGACACTTCAGTTTCCGATTTCTGATGGCTGCCAGAGTGCATCCATGCCATGAGACGGTAGGTGGTCATGTTGGGGAAGGGATAAGGGGGTTCGAGAGATAGTCTGGGTGTCTGGGCGTCACCCGCATCGCTAGTCGTTGGACACGAATCTGCTAGTAGCGAAGACAGGATCAATCTGTCAGGTTCGAAGGAGGGTAGCCTTGGATATTGTCGACAAAGTCCAAATGCGTTAAACGCCGTTTGAAGGGATCTACGGAGTGTCAAAATCACTTTTCGAATTCTACGCTGGGGTGGTTCTGAATTTTCAGTTACAGGAGACAGATTACTCCCAGGACAGTCTGAAGGGTTTGTTTCTTCATCGGCAGGTAGAAGATCCACGAAATCTCTCAGGACTAGCCCAGCCGTGCGTCGCGAAGGATGTCGAGTCATTGGGTCTAGTATTTATAAGTGTTATACTTAACAGACACAAAGCGTTATGAAGGTGCACACCTAACATATTATTATGTTGTTCGGCGATATCGTCCATTGCAACATCCAAAACGTTCGTATCCTGGAACGCAGAAGTTGGGGCGTAAGTACGAACTACACCATGACTAACTGGGTTAATCGTGGGCTCTGTTGGCATGCAAGCCGCGAGAGATTTGCAGCGTGCGATGGGTTTCAAATAACGATGATTTTGAAATAGCATCGGTCCAAGCGGCTGCACCAGACAATGAGCGAACTTAGTGGTAGTTGAAGGTTGAACATATGACTCACAAGAGTAGTAGTATTCCCAGTACTAGTACTTGTTGTCTGTGATGGCAATTGTTGCAGTGACTTCATTGAATCCTTCGCTCGTTCCCTTCGTTTCTGCGCGGCTAGCGTGCTTGCCTTCTGGTAATATTTGCATATCGAGCGATGTCGGTCAAGTCCACGAAAGTCAGTATCCCTCTCCCAAGAGCAATGAGATGCACCACAGGATACCATTGAAAAGACTAAGATAACTCCTAACAGAATCCAAGACGGCTGAGAAAAACGCATCCCCAAGCCCTCCGAGTCAGAGTGATCGTGGCTAGCAGTAGTAGTACACCGCAATGATAGACTGGATGAAGTACTGAGGTTTGAGAAAACATTCAAAATCCGGCTGACTCAGAGTGTATATCCACGTTGGACATTACTAGATTCAGTCAATAGCATATATTATGCGAACAGTTTTGATATCGAACAGTTTCGTACTATGATTAGTATCTCCCAGTGTTTCTAGTTTAACTACCGTACTAGTAGGAGTACGAGGACGAGATTGTCCATAGGTCCGGTCACGGTCTCCCAAGCATAGGGCCGTGACTACATTGTGATCTTCCTGGAATGTCTGTAAAGCTCTGTCAGCACTTGCCATCATCGTCATAATAATGAGCCACTGGGATTACTAGTACATGAGCGTGAAGTAAACGAAAATGTGTTCTGAATTTGACCATCTACGCTCATACAGTGAGCACGTGTATTGGCGTCCTCGTTAGGCATTCCCATATTTGTAGACCAGTGTATTTTCGCGATCACATTAGTACTATTGGCTTGGAGTACTACATACTGTAATTGATGACTGCGGCATGGGGATAGGGATATGCGGATGAGTATGATGATGTATCGAGATAAAGTACAATTAGAAATAATGAGATGACATTACTTCAGTTTAAAGCAACGGCTTTATTAGATCACCCTTCCTAGGGTGATCACACCTCACAGGCTCGTAACCAGGCATCACAGAAGATGCCTCCTGAAATCTCTCGGCCCATGCATCTTCCTCGGACTTCAGAATCGTTAGGAACTGAGTGTACTGGCGGACTCGATCTTGAGCTGCCGCGTAGTTAGCGAATACCGTTTCAATGGTGCGCGCCAACAGGATATCTTGCTCATCAACTTGCTCCTTGATTCCGTCAACCGACATACGACCCGTGTTCGGTTCCGGTACTCCATGACCCATCTCCTGGATTCTCTGTGCCCATGCACATTCAGAGTGCTGCAAGATCGCCACGAATTGGGTGTATTGACGGACTCGGCTCTGTGCAGCTAGGTAGCTGGAATGCACCGTGTCAATGCTGTACATGGTGAATAGTTTATCTTGCTCGGTATCGTTTACGTCGATTCCGTCGAGGGATAACTTACAGAAACTTAGTGTTCGCGCCGTATAGTAAAATAAAGAAATTACTTACGATATACATTTGTCTCTCAAGGTCGTGACCGGCATATATTATCCTCAAAAGATGTTCATGTTTTGAAGGTATAACGTTTGAGCTGCCTTCACGAAGAGAACACTCAAAATTGTGAGCAGGTGGGGATAGCGTTGAAATTGTAGCCGATAACATGTTGTGCACTGCGCGCAAGGTTCACTAACGAGTTCATCATACATCATCCATTTGAATGTTTGGTGGCTATTTTCGATCGGAGTATTCGGTGTTTAAAAATGCCTAAGAGACCTACAGTTGCGGACAAGCAAACTCCACCAATTTTGAACACCATCAAAAATGGATTTTTCCTGACAGCACAAATGGCCGAGAACCCATTTTTAGTACAGAATATATTAATTAAGGACCGAATGTTCAAGTTTGCTTGAACAAATTTTTGAAAAACTGCCATTTAAGAATTTCTGGGGCCAAAAATTTGGCCGTACCCCTAAACAAATCGCTAAAATCACCAAAAATACACCAATCGCTTCCTTTTGATACCTTGTGCGTGATGCCGTTGAAACATCAAAAAAATATTGAGCCCTTTTAGTGCTAAAAATTCAATAAGTGTCAAGACAATTGCTTCCGATATGCCCCCAAATGTTACATCTTTTCCCTTTTGTGGCCTGCTTTCAATTGAGATACAACTCAATTGAGCCAATACAAATGATTCTGGCCAGAGATCAGTTGCAGGGGGCGCCTCGGACCCCCAAAAGGGGTACACAACATTGTTCAAATTGCTCAAAAATTTGGCCGTACCCAAAATCTCATGGGAAAAACTTCGGAGGAGTGTTTTTAGACATATTTTCACTTCCTGAGTTTAGATCTGGCCTTGGTTTGGCCCAAAAAAATTATCCTGGGTGGCTACCAAAATTGTCGATTTTGCCTGTCCACAACTGTACATACAGCACAGTGCTTTTGTCACAGCTGGTCACAGCTGCCATTTCTAAGTTTGCTCGGCAACACCTACTAAGTAAGATGTCAGCACACCTGTTGTTCCCACATACCTGATCTAATTAGATGTGACAGCTGGGTGTGATGGTGTATCTAAGTCGATATGTTTTTGCCTCTCCCCGCCCAAATGAATAATTAGTCAATAAAGGAGGGTCTTTAGAACTGTAGAAGGTGCTGGGTAGGGTAGGTACCTATGAGGGCCTCGGCTATATCCCTCCCCGAGTGCCTGGGTGCCATATTTGGAACTACAGCTATTATTAACACTGGCAGCTGTCCTAAATAGGCCACATTGTCACACAAACCTTCGTGCTTGCTGTGCACGACAGTGAGCTCATGTATCTCACCAAGGAGAGCATGGATTTGGGGGAGACTTTGATAGACATGTAGCTAGAGGTATATACATGTAATTTCAAAGGGCTTTAGGTAGAATAATGGAGTTTTTGAGCTCAAAACATTGCAAAAGCTAACTACCTCAAGTTAAACTTCGTCCTCACTGCTCTCCTCCTCCTTGGATGAGTCAATGAATTTGGTGCTCTTTGGAGCCTGTGCCGATGACCCCGGTGCTTGTGCCCGCTTTCTAGGAGGGGCATTCTCCTTCCCCTTCTGTTTGCAAGGCACCCCAGCGTCAGCACACTTCTTGCATGGTTTGCCAACCTTTTCTCCCCTCTTACAGCATGCATCCAGTAGAGCATGGAACTCGTCATGCTGACAGGGAGTCATGTGAAACCAGTGGCAGAAGCCATCCTTCAGCACACCTCGAAGCTTGAGAAGAGCATGGAGATCATTCACACTGGTGGGGGATTGGAAAACAATGCCTTTGGGCCAGCCCTTTATATCAATCGATAACTTCTTCTTTATCACGGTATCGAAATTTGCGTAGTTGATACAAATGTCGTGTCTCTTGGCTATAGTCCCTAAACAGTAGAAGTCAGTATTGGTTTCAGTAGGATAAGAAAAATGTACTAAGTCCTGAGTTGAGGAGGCGAGTACAGACACGCTGCATGTTCTGCACTGTTTCGCGTTCGTCAATGTCTAATGTGATGTGAAAATCAGCCTACATACAAAGAAAGAACATAGGATAAGAAATATAACATACTTTGACCTATAATGCATGCCCATTGCTCCAGCTTCCATGTGATTTCATCGGCCTCCACTTGCAGCATATCCTCCCAGAAATCCATAATGTTGTCAGTCCCAAACCATGTGGCCTGTGTGGTGTTGTAAATGTGACCACGAGAGGCAAATAGGCAAGCATATATCCCGGTTCTTACAGCAAGACTGTCAAGCTATATTTATGCAGTCAGTGGTAGAATCATTTGGAGTGAATACAACTTACCATTTTAAAGATGGTGTCTAAAGTCGATTGAACATCACACATAGTCGCCGTATTCATGGCACACATGCTCATGTTGCGCAGGGCTTGATATTCATTGAGCTTGTCAACGAGCTCCTTTTTTTCCTCTTCTGTCAGATCTTGCATGTTCCTATCATCCTTCACCATCTGATGGATGTCTCCAGGAGTATATTTGGCGCCCCATGGTAGATCTGGTGTGCTTGTGAGGCACCAGTCCAATGTTCAAATAGATGTAACACATTACCTTTATTTACTTCCTCGGCTTTGGCGTGCATAAGCACATTCTCCAGTTGTGCACTTCAACTCGCTGTATAGTGCTTAGTGCCTCCCATCAGCGTCTTCACCTTCTCCACAGAGACACCATGCTCCAGAGCAATCTCGTTCATCCTCTGTGCCTGCTCCGCCAGAAGCTGCTGAATCGAACTGTGCAGTGCCTCCTCGGATTCTTTGCTTTGTTGGGAGGAGATTTTATGAAATGCTCATTGAGTGTTTGCACGTGCTTTCTGTACAGGATTGAGTGGGACACGTGGTTCAATGATGGGCCTGTTGGGATTTCTTGCTACTCAAGACGAATTGTTGGCATCAGATGCGAGGCCTGTTGCTGCACCGACTAGAGTGTCCTGTGCGTTAGTGTTACCTTGAACATGTTCAGTGTGCCGTTGTGCGAGACTTTCCGGAGGTTGACTTTTAGTGTGGCGTTGTGCAGGACCGTCAGCAGGTTGATTGTGTTGTGCAGGACTGTCAGCGGATTGATTGTCTTGGGTCATGTGACCCTCGACCTGTACTAGACTCTCCGGTTGGCTGATATCGTTTTCAGTGTGGCATTGTCCAGGATTGTCAGCGGCTTCTAAGAAATTGTTGAGGGGAGGTAGTCAAGCATACAGAGTTGGATCATCCCAGTTGATGTTGAGTGGAGGGAATGTGAAAGAGAAAGGAGCAGGAGTTTGGGACGACCCATCCCAAGTCTGGTATTGAGAGTGTCCTGTTCCGAAGTCTCCTGCCATCATCAACTCTCAAGCAGATGACAAGAAAAAAATGTGTCCATCTTACCTGACTGACACTGAGAGTATTGTGATCTGAAGTCTTCTGACATTGTCAACTCTGGAGTGCAAAAAATGAGAAAACGAAAGAAAAAAATGTGTCCATCTTGACCTGACTGATGCTGAGCACCATTCTGCATTGAATCTTCTGAAAATCTGCAACCAGAAAAGTTGAAATCATACATCGTGAAAAGATTAAATTGAGCACCTGCCAGTAGATGGAAGTAAATGAGGACGCGATGTGCTTTTCAAAACATGTCAATTTTCAGAAATTCATCAAATAATTGCACTACCTATAAGCCAGAATAACAGTAAACAAAGGTGTGATGCCCCTTTCAAAAACACGTCAATCTTTCAGAAATTCATAAAATAAATCATTTACCTGCAGTCTATCATGATCGACACATGCACAGATGAGGAGAGGACATTCTCTCTGGTATGCAGAGGCAACATACAAAGGTCTTTGAATTGAGCATCGTTTTGGTGGAGGCATACAAGGCACTTGCATAGCAAGTACCCCATTGTGGGCTATAATGTTTGTTGATAGAAAAAGTGAGCATGACATTAGATGGATGCCAGTGGCACATGTGACATACTGCTGTTTGAGTATGGACTCATGCAATTAACAGGGTGGAGGCACAGTGTAAATTTCTATTAGTAAGTCAGCAGGTAAGCAAAAAAGAGGCATTCACAAGCATACTGGTGACCAACTTGATGTAGTCCATAGTGCTGCAGCCACAGCCAGTGGCTGAGAAACATGCCACGTTGAACTAATGTAGAAGCACTGTTCCTCGACTCCTTAGACATATTAAGTGAGCACTAGGTACGAATAATACTCATGAAATGGCGGAAGAGAAGAGAATCTCAAGTTGGTGAAAACTTGGCTTTCAACATGTGCTGACAGCGAGGTGTGTTCAGTTGATACTATTTTTAGCACTATACCTGCGCCTTCGATTACAAATACTATGCTTCTGCCTTCTTTCACGTTCAATGTTCAACATTCAACATTGCGTGTCACTGGTTAACCCTCCCAAGTCTCATCCCTCCCAAACCTGAGTCTACTCAGCCTACAACAATACTCAGACCCGTTTACAGCCACAAGCAGGCTTTGGGGTTTTGCACTTGGTTTGTTACCCATCCTTTACTAAACTTCATTCCTCCATACTAACCTTCCTCTCATCCTACTCCAGTGACTCAAGGCAGACTTTCTCCATATCCACTTTCATGCTTGCATCCAAGGTTATCTGTGACAACACTTAGTCTACCCACCAGCAAGGTGAGCCTTACCCAACTCCATTTTTCCCCGCATTCTTCGCTCACTGTCTTTTCATATCCACTTTCATGCTCACATCCAAGGTCATCTGTGATGACACTTACTCCACTCACCAGCAAGGCGAGCCTTACCCAATTCTTCCCTCCACATTCTTCACTCGCTGTCTTTTCGTATCCACTTTCATGCTCACATCCAAGGTTATCTGTAACGACAGTTACTCTACTCACCAGCAAGGTGAGCCTTGCCCAACTTACATTCTTTCCCACATTCTTCACTTACCATCTTTTCATATCCGCTTTCATGCTCACATCCAAGGTCATCTGTGATGACACTTACTCCAGCAAGGTGAGCCTCCCAACTTACATTATTCCCTTCGCGTTCTTCGCTTACCGTCTTTTCATATCCGCTTGTATACTCGCATCCAAGGTCATCTGTGACAACACTTACTTACTCCACTCACCATCTTTCTGTATCCGCTCTCATACTCGCATCCAAGGTTATCTGTGATGACACTTACTACTGTCTTTCCATATCCACTTTCATACTTGCATCCAAGATTATCTGTGATGACACTTACTACCGTCTTTTCATATCCGCTTTCATACTTGCATCCAAGGCTATCTGTGACGACACTTACTCCAGTGGGAACTGCAAGGCTGTTATCTTTCTGTTTATACTTTTTGGAGACACTCTAATTTTGTTGTAGTTTTGTTGTTTCACGATAGTCATTCCATTTCATGTGTCATGTATTATTGTTGCAATTTTATCGTGATTTGAGAACACATGAATGACACTGGTTATCACTCACGACAACCCTGAAGGACAGCAAAGATACAATGTGTGAATTTGCTAAATAGTGTCTAGGTAAATTGAAATTCTTGGGCGCTTCACACTTTGAATAGTCACAGTACAGCCTGTGGCACACATGTTAACCATCAGGATTTTGTCTCGGTTTTGAGTTTCTTTGTCTTTTTTACATTGTGGCACTTAGAGTGATAATAAAGCATGTATCCTTGACAATTCAGTGCAGATCCAAAGCCGTGAATGTGTGTTGTAGTTTCAAATGAGCATGAACATGAGTTTACATTGAGTTTACATGTGGCAATTGTCAGTTGTGCATGAATGACATTGTGACAATCCATGAAATCCAGTATATGATCCTAACACTTGTAATGAGCATTACACATGCTTCATCCACAAATGAACTCTGGTACATTACATTAGTGCTCTTACATTAGATCATAATCATTCCTCTTGAGGTCTGAGTGCAGCTATTATATTCACAATAACAATAATGTCATTATGTTCATTGGCTCCGTCACTGCTTTATCAAACGGCGCCAAATCGAACTGCACAAACACTGCGAACTTTGTGTTAAACATATCATATTATCATCAGTGTCTGGTACCATCATGCGCAATATTTAACATGATTGCAAAATATCGATCTTAGATTTGAAGCTGAGAGTGTGTGAGACATTCTTTGTGTTACGTCAATAATCAATACATTGTATTCTACATGCCCTCTCCCTCACTCAAATTGACAGCATTCATATACTCTGAGAGATCCTCAAGCTGCACCCACAGATCCTCGCTTGACTGGCTTGACTGAGCTGGGCTTGCAGGGTCAGATTGCAAAGTACTGGTGATGGTGGATACCGTCAATTCGGTCGGACTCGAGGGAGCTGATGCGTCTGGCATCTCTATCATAGTATTCAGGATGGGGAGGTTGGACTGCCGGTATATGTAAGAGAGTAATCCCCACAACAGATGTATAATGGTACTCACAGGGCCAGAGATGGTATGAGTAACGGTGGAGTCCACAGTTTGAGTTCTCTCTTTCACAGTCTCAGTTTCAGTAGCATCGATGGTCGTTTTCGTAGAGGTGATGATTCGGGAAGTATGAGTCTGCACGGTATGTGTGGTCCGAGTTCAAGTCACCGTCTTGATGTGTCTGCGATCATGCACATTATCTGATGCTGTATGGATAGATTAGCATTGTCAGAGTGAACGAGGTTAGGGTAACACGCACCTTGTCTGGTTGAGGTGTAGTGGAGCTCATTGCACAATAGATTGAGATATATTGAGCGAGCACTGAGTGATGTCTTAGGTGCAGCACCGCAGCAGAGAACAAGAAAAAGTCACGTGCATATGTCTATCATACCCACAACTTCTGAAAAACAAGTCCTATGGCACAAGGAAATATCAACAAACATCTGAAAAATCGAACAGGACTCACTTCACAAAGGATTTGACATGTCATATCTCACCGAGGTCCAAACCATGGGCTATGTCTGATGCAGGAGGTACTGGGTCCGAGAAAAATAGCTGCACATGCAGCAGAAGTAAGCATCTGCAAAAAATCTTGCATTCAAGGTACATTTCATCAGTAGCATTGATTCCAGAACTCATGAAACTTACTTTGGAAGCGATGACGCTGAAAAAAAAACGTGCACTCAAGGCGCTGCAAGAGCATAATGATGATAACATCATGTTCGATGGGTTCAATGGTGATGACAATTTTGGAAGTAGTGTGTTGGACAGATCAGAGTCAGTCAACATTAGCCATGCGGGTGGGGAGCTGCATGAACTCACCAGGCAATTAATCAGTGACTTCTGGAAAGGGTGAGGGTTCATTATGTAAATTAGGCATACCACTGCTAACAAGACTCGGCAGAAATTCGCAGACCTGTGGTCATCGAGCTGACTATAGGACCAGGCGTGACAGAACTAGGTGTTGCACGGAAGCCTTTGACCAGCAAATGTCAGCACTAACACACGCCTACCTGGACTGGAATCTTGCTAATGGTGGTTCAGATGGTCGGGGGTTCTTCTCACAGTATTGAGACACATGCGGTACATTTGGAACAACAGTCGATGCAAATGCAGGATCGATTATCATCAACATTGTGGATGTGTTTTGTAAGGTTCTCAGGCTATTGATTGTGTAGTTGTGTTGATGCCATCACATTATGCATTAGACACTGAAAGGCTACCTCTAACTATTCTATTGACCGACTCTTTCATAGCTTCAGCACTGGTCCGGCAAGGTGTCGTCCTGTGTTCACCAATCAGCCCATCAACTGGGGTTACAATGCAGGCCCTCAATTTTTATCATATTGCACACCAGCGCAACCCACACTTCTCTATTCAGGCATATGTGAAAATGCTATGTGACCTACAAGGCATAAGTACCTCAAGTCCCACTTCCTCATGGTACATTGACGCAAGTCTGCCTTAGGTTCAATTTCACCGATATCTTTCATGCCAATTCTCGATCATGCTTGACGTGTACTTGCAGACTCTCTCTGATGTCAAATCACTGGTCCACGAAGCCATTGGATGCAGTAATTCTAACTGGTGTCTGATGCACGTGTGCCCAGCATGTACTTACACGCTCAAAGATGAAGACACTTTAAAATTCCATCTACTCTATACGATGGATGGCAATGACTCGCTCAAGCAAGTGCTTAAAAAGGTTGTACGGGATGACTCTGAGTACCTCGATGACGACAATGACATTCCTCTACCAAGGTCTGCTGAGCTACCTTCTACACAATCTGTGGGTGGTGACCAGTACTTAACAAGGGACTACGTAAATAGCTTCACTGGTGATTCTTCAGTCGACATGCTATCAGTCGACGACAAGGTAAGGTGCCTCACTTTTTGTCTACAGCCTACTAACTCATCCTTAGGAAAATCCATGTGCTGGACATTGGAACAACATGAAGGATGAAAAAACCAGAAGAATGTGGGGTGTGTTTGATGAGTCTGGAATTTTCATGGCCGTCTGTCGCCATGGATTCTCTCTTATTATCATGGACATGGTTCAAAGCGGCAAACAGTAAGTCATTCATGTTTAGATTTCGCTATTTACTGTTGTTTTAAGATCCAAATATCCTTTGGCAGTTGTATCAAAACTCCTCAAGGTTTTTGGCAAGGACTTAGGCGGTGGCTATGATATTGGCTGTAGGTTCAAGACTACTCTCAATCAAAGTGTGCTGGGTCAGTCTGCGTGTGAGCTTAACCATACATCACTCATCGGTGCTTTTCATGGACACGCCCACAAACACTTGTGTCAACTTGATCATCTAACTACATACGTCAAAGGTCTAGGACTTGAAAATCTTGAGGGCTGTGAACAAACATTCTCAAAATTAAACACACTCACATCTTTGGTCTGTTATTCAAGTATTTTTCACCGACACCAAGCTATTGCAAATTATTTTCAGCATACTGATGACTTCGAAGTATATGCCAATCTTTGTACGTAGCAATTCATACTGATTACAAGCGTGAACTGACATTGTTTGTAGCTACGTTCCTATATAACAATTATACACAGGCCCTTGGTATTCTGCACAATGGACAGTCAATGCTTCCGCAATTCATGTGTGAGCTTGGCATCACCAATGATAGCATCTTCGAAAACTGGCTGGTCGAGGAATGTGCTTACCTAATGTTGTTGAACCAGGAACCAAAACAGGAAACATTACAGATGGAATACTGGCAGAAGCTTGTCAACATGACTGCAAGCAAGTGAGTAGTAGTTTTTTTCTTGAAACCAAAAAGCTCAAAAAGAAACAGGAAAGACCTGGATGTTGCCAGTGTGCCTTGGAGCATATCCACACCATCCAGTGCTTCGTTTGGATCACGTGATATCGCTACAACTATCAGAATTGAAACTGCACATCGGCATGCCATCGAGAACTATGAGAAAGATCTCAAAGTCCTTGAAGTGAAGCTCAGGGTGACTCGTTGATGGACGCCGGATGATATTGAATGGAAGGATGTGGGTTGCCTTGTAGCAAATCGGAAGTTTCAGTGGGCCCTGGACTCTTTGGAAGGTTTAGTAGTTGCTCGTATCTTTGAGCTATCAAAGATGAACCGTGCGGGGACAGATAAGTCACAAATATTTGCATTAGTGTGAGCTTAGCGCTGACCATTAATCTAGGCTACAAACTACAAAAACACATTGGGAGAGCTTTGCAGGCTTGCTCTGCAGCTATTCAGATGGCACTCAACTGCTATAACACTGCAGCATGTGCCCTTTCACCACCTCGTCCATCTCTTTCCTGGGATGAGGTCGTTGAATATGCATTCCTCTCCGACTTTGATCTTCTTTGAGATGCCCGCCAAGATGTGTCTCAACATGCCTGGGCCACCCCCACCGGTCGTTTAGCCATGGATACGTACTACAAGATGCAACACGCACGAGAAGAGATTCAGCGACTCAATATCAAGGTCAAGAGAATGGTCACATACCTTCGAGACGAGGACTTATACCTATGCAAGTGTGAAAAACAACTTCAAATCATCCATCCTGCACTTGCATATCAAGTTAGCGTCCATTGTAACATATATGCTCGCTTCACTGAACACCATTTTTGCCGTCTAGTCAGCATGAGCAAGCTACATGGCTTTACAGGATCACTGTCACCTGGAGTCACTAGCGAAGAATCACCTGGGGCAAGTGGCAGTGCACCTGCTGTGTATATCCCTGCTCGTCTGCTGGTTCCTGTCATTACAGAAAATGTGGAAGATGGTATAGTGGATCTGGATGACGAGGAGGGTGTGGAAGTTGATTGGGAAGAGCAGTCGCGCATTCTTGAGGACATTCTCCAGGTTACCTTTGATGTTTAATTACTTTTCAGCATGGGCAATATGTTCGAAACTCACCATATACACTTGTTGCTGCATATATAAAAATGTCCGCCATTGTGAAGTGTGTCCACTGTCGAGATACATGAGCTCGCTGTCATGCACAGCGAGCACGAAGGTTTGTGTGACAATGTGGCCTATTTAGGACAGCTGCCAGTGTTAATAATAGCTGTAGTTCCAAATATGGCACCCAGGCACTCAGGGAGGGATATAGCCGAGGCCCTCATAGGTACCTACCCTACCCAGCACCTTCTACAGTTCTAAAGACCCTCCTTTATTAACTAATTATTCATTTGGGCAGGGAGAGGCAAAAACATATCAACTTAGATACAGCATCACACCCAGCTGTCACATCTAATTAGATCAGGTACATGGGAACAACAGGTGACCTTGCAAGAGTGATGTGTGACCTGTTAGCATTCCAAAATAGATCAGCTCTCTATGTTTCAGAAACCATGTTAGCATTTGACTGACATTATTTAGTAAAGGTTGGACCCCACAAACTGTGCTGGAGAAAGGTACAAATATTTTTTTATGTATTGTCGTCTTCATTGTCCTACTCGTCGAGCTCACGGTCTCTGCCTTTTTTTCCAACCCTAGTGCTCATGAATGGCGCCACCTCTCTGTGTCCTCCCTATAACCCTTAACACCAATTCCGCGCCCACCTCGCCATGAAGTATGCTGTCGCGGCTGGTTAAATTTTTTCAGAACAGCGCATCATGACCAGGCAGCACCTCTGCATCAAGATCTAGTGTTGGATCCCCTTTGCATTCGTCGTCGACATCTTATCTTTCCCCACCAGCTGACTCTTACCACTACCTCGCCTTCATATTTTTCTTCAGTGATTTCCAGTGTTCCACTGCATCCTGGATTTTTTCTTGTACTCCCACCTCGTGCATACTACCCTACTGTCTATATACATGTTCCTGTCAAATATTTGTAGTCATAATTTGTATATTGCATCTTCATCTCAGTGCTCCCTTAGTCAAGCAGACACAAAAAATTAAGTTGGTTCATAGTTAAAATTTCATGATATGTAAATAACAAGATACTGTGAAGGAGAGACTGCACTACTGTTGTGACATGAGTATAGACATTGCAATCAGCCGACATGGCTCGTGCACTGCTTAGCGGAGTTATGAGAGCATCTGAGTGGCAGAGTAAATAATTAGTATAATTGAATATCGGAATTGGCCGAATATATTCTGCGCACCACGAACTCCTATTATCGTCACTGTTCCTACTAAGCCCAGAACCTGAATCATAAGAACTACACACCCAAGTTTTGTGGGAGAGGGTGGGACACGAAGATGAGGAAGCCAAATTGGTGTATGCTGCAGGGCTTGGAAGCAGAATTCAGAGCAGCGGCAATTGTTGTTGGTGGCGTCAGAGCTGGTAGCACTATGGGAGTTGAAGTCGGGGATGTCAATATCAAGTACTGGTCGTCAGGCGGCTCGGTGATGAGTGTTTGAGGGGGTGACACGAACATGGCAAGATAGCGCAGAGTATGTCTGCGCGAGGGCGGTGAGCTTCGACTTAAGAATGATGAGGAAATATGCTTACCGAGTGGTGGTTGAGGTCCTCACCGCTGATGTAATTGATCCATTCAGGGACTCGTGTTTCCCACCCTGTTGGGGGCCGATCTACTTCGGAATGCTAACAGGGCACTACACACTCACCTTGCAATGGTGGTGGGCAATCCCCACCAACAAAGCGGGACGCTTATATAAGCTAAAAACCCCTGAATGATCTCATTTTGTGAAACCGACCCAATATTTGATGTCACAGCAAGTTTTTGTGCATTTTATTGTGGTCAGAATTATTGTATGTTATAGCTAAAGTATGTTATGTGCAGTATGCGATTATTTTATGAAGTAGATGTAGGTATTTGCAAGTAAAGTAGTTTAATATATTTGTGTCACATTATTTGTGTCATCGAGATCATCATCATAGGCAACCGAATCGCCTCGTAAACGTGCAAAAAGGCGAGCTGAAAACTTCTTGCAGGGAAACGGGGCATTTCGAGGTGCATCGTTCTCTTTGTTGCACCGTTTTTCGCGGGTGTGTCGAAGTTGATCTCTCTTTGCTCTACAGCATCGTTTTTGCGAGATTTGGGCTGTTCTCGGTGCTTCTGAGGCATGGCAAATTATTATGGAGTCGATAATATCATTTATTTGACAAGGAAATGAATGTAGGCTCCACAGGTTAAGCTGAGGAGCGTTACGACGGTGTCATGCGCTGGAGCTATAGCTTGCGTAACCACCCGTTTTTGGAAATTCACGCTTGTTACATCGCATAGGGGGTGTCTTCCTCTGAAGAGTTTGTGCACCTAACCTGCGGCTCTTCCGATTCGTGCACAGTGAACTTTTTGATTATTTTTTCTTCCTCTACAATGTTATCAGAACCGATTTTCTAATATCGCCCTTTGAGGTGATAAATTGAGCTTCATTGGTACTGTATCTTGTGATAAAATGCAAAATTGCACATTCGGTTCTGATAACATTATAACAAGCAACATTTCAATCATATTCACCCGCGAGTACAAGGTAACAGGGTTTCTAGTTCATTGCACAACTCGAGGTTTCAGTATCCTTTGCCATTGCTGAGGTGGGAAGATTATATAAGTGTCCTGCTGTGTTGGCGGGCATTGCCCACCACCACTTGCAACAACCATTGTTGATTTGCTGACAAGTTGATCGATTCTCGGCACTTGCCGTAAACTGGTTACAGCCTGAGAGTTGATCCTTATCATTTGTAATGATCTTGATCATCTCCTTTCGCTCGGAGCTTCTTCAAGTTCAAGACCTCGAGTCACAGTCACCGCCGTGGCAAATTCGTGCCGTCTAGGTTCATCCAACACCATCATGCCTGCTGCCATAGTAGACCGCCCTGGCATCAAACATTCTTATTCCTCCAAAGTCCCAAGTCACCATCACAAACCCCACACAACCAGGAGCACCAATCCACAAGCCACACGCATCGCCGACAATGAGCACAAGCCCCAATTGAACTCGAAGAACGTCAGGCCGAAGTCTGGATCAATATCCTCAAGTTTACCATTGAAAAAGAGGACTACAGCATCCCAATCTATTCCAACATCCCTGCCTGTGCAAGAGGAGGTGCCAGAGCTTGAGACAAACGTAGTTGAGCTTCAAGTTGAAGAGGTTCCTACAGCCGCTACCCAGGCTACTGTGACTGTGACCGCAGCAGATCCATTGTATGATGATATCCAGCGACTCTACCCTTCTGAACACCGTGACTTTACACCGAGTATGTTCAATGGGAAGGAATTGTTATACTGTATTCTAATTGTGTTGAAGATGTCTGGAAGGTATTGAACTATTTGACTGGACCAACTCCAACAAGAAGCTATATGGTGTGTATTTTGCTAGTTCATGAGTCAAAGATGATCGAAACACTCATCATTATTACAGGAATTCCCTGGCATGAGAGCGGAAGAATTTGAGATAATAGAACACGAGGTAGGAGAAACGGGCCGAGTGCCTACGAAGCCCAGGTCGAGTCAACTAATTGCTTTCTGCTTCGAGTAATACTAAATTGGGCGCTTCAGGCTGACTTACGACTACAACGAAGAGCTCCTTAGTATAGACATGCCCACCATTTTGCATGAAGTGTTTTATGACGACTTGAAAGAATCCCTTTCCTTCGCGATGCGCTGTTTTCCGTACCATCGCAGGACCATTCACCCCCAGATACATATGAACTATTCCCTCCAGATCGAGGACAAATTCGCCACGCCTGATATGGTCGTATCACTGACCCCTACGCAGGGACCTACTGAAGTTGTGCTTATTCCCTACATCGGAGAAACTGCGTTGACGGAGGAATGGGATCACGTTTTTGAGAAGATGGAGTCGATGATCGCTACACATCCTGAGGCAATCTTAGCATCAATTGTCTTAGTACGAGAACACCAACGCTACGCCTCTCCTCCACTCAACTCAATCGCGGATGAGACGCTGCACAACCGCTGCAATGATGATGAACTTAAGCCGCAACCGTTGCCTCTCAAGTCATTTATCCACATGCATTCGACACCACGAACATGGGAGGAGCCCGTCGAAATCGCTGGTCATACGTGGTGTCATGTCAAATCAGTGGAGTATTTCATTTGGATGAAAGGCGAGAAAGATAAACCGATCGACATGCGGAATGGCAAGCCAGAGCACAGGGCGCATGGCGTAAGTTCTCACTATCGTTCTACGCAACGAATCACTCAAATGATCATCATGATCAGACTTTAGTGCCTGAACTGCACATGGACAACGTAACGAGGATATTGGACCTAGGGTTAGCAAAGATGAAAGACCTCTTCGTCGACTTCCAGAAAGAACGTGATCCTGCCATCAATCGTTCTGCTCTAGAAAAGTTCGTTCCCGAACCGTTCCCCATTGAGTGGGATCTTAGCGCGCTGGGAGTCATGTCCGCGGCGGATCTCACTGCCCACTTGCGTTATGTCGGTTGGCATGCGGTTCGTTTCAGAGGTGCGAAGCGTTCCTGTGATTTGTCTTATGTCCCCTCGGAATCAGAGGACACCTCTGGGGCAAATAACACCGACGATGATCAACCTACCGCACGCACCCCAAAGACTCCTCGCGTTCCCTCCGAGGACGTATTCAGAATGATTATGGTGGGTCCCAGCAAGTCCGATTCTACCGTGACACCCGTGGCGGGTACCAGCACCAAACCCTTGAACGTTGCTGCGACGAGTACGTCTAAAGCTTCGAAGGCCGAGACCAAGCCTCGCCGCAACAAAGGTTCAAACAAGCGTAGAAAACATTAGTGCGCTTCAAGCTTCATATACTAAGTCTGGGGTGGTCTCACGATGCAAGTTCATCATGTTGATTTTCAATACTCGTTTCACGCTTTTCATGTTTTCTAAATTCTCAACGAGGTCCATGTCTATCGCATTTCCAGTGTTACTGACTCCTACCGTGATTGATAGACAGTGATGATCGTGATCTCATAGTTGCATTTCCTTCTACTTGTACTAGTACCTCTACGTTGTATAACTCGAATCAGAAAACTTTTCTACGCGCTATTACACACATGTAGTAGGAGGCCTAGATAAACCCACAAGCTCTGCACTTCTCGACAGTATCATGATACGGTCAGTACTAAGTGGTCATTTGGGTATCATTTTTGGCCGATCGTGTGGTCACGTCACGCTTGAACACCAGTTGTCACTGCATCGTGTCACAATGATGTCCGGCTGACTCGGAGGAAAGATTAATAATTTCTAGTGGCGTGCGTATCTTGCCTGAGGTAGTACTGCCAGTAGTCATCATGACTCACCAGATAGAACATTCTACAAAGCCATTCTTTCTGTACATCAGAATCAGTTCCCAAAGGCTCTCAAGGAGATCGGCAAAGCAAGAGACTTACTCGAGCCAGAGTTGACATCCTTTGTTGGAAAAGGATACGGCCGGTCTCACAAGTGAGTTAGGCCTTGTACCCCGAGTTTACTGTGTACTAACATAGGGCAGCACTCTTGTTCGCGTACAGATGCTCTCGGAGCTGGAGGAGATCATTGTGTATAAACAGTATGCAGATCAAACCGACCACCAGGCAGCAATGCGAAAAACTTGGATGAAGAGGTGCGTATTCAAAACCTGTGCAATACTTGCCCTTACCCTTCACAAGACCGCAAGGGTGTCAACCAGATGTCGAAACCTGACAACGGATTCTGCAAGTTAGAGCCCTTGTCCTCAACCCAGAAGATGATCCTGTTACGTGGATCAAATTTGCGAACCTTTGCTGCAAGTCAGACCGAATGGCATTGACAGAGAAGACGATCAATTCATTGCTTTCACCGGCAAGGGTGCGTGAATGACAACGTTCATACATTACAATGATTCCATTTCTGTTTTTGTTTTCAACTACAGCATCTTCGAGACGACCAGCACATGAAAGCTTCTCTAAATGTTGTCTGTGCATAATTCAAACATATGTGGTCCACCGGCGCTCATTAGGAAAACCTCAACTTCTTGCGGCAATTCTCTCTGCAAGCCTTGCAAGGGATTTGCAGGTGGAATCCAAGGATCACTCGCAAAGATCTGGTGTTGGTAAAGCTAAGCTGGAAGAACTCTCGCGTCTTCTCGCTCGTTGTTACTTCAAACAAGGGCAATGGCAAGTAGTACTGAAGGAAGATCGGGGCCCTGTACGTGCGTTGATCCTAGTCACATCTCTTACTCACTAGCTGGTCAGCGGAACGTCAAAGACGTACTGCATTCGTACCTTCTGGCAACCCACTATGATCCTAATTGGTATAAGGCCTGGCATACATGGGCGCTAGCGTCGAGGCCATTGGCCATCTGGAGAGTTAAAAGGAAAGCACGGCTGCCGACATCCCCGGGAGTGGGCTTGCTGCCCACATCGTGCAGGTTGTTTAAGGTCAGTTTATCCTTTCCAAAGTTCAGGTTCCCGCTCATTCTGAAATAGGGTTCTTTCGCTTGATCGGCCTCCGAAATGAGAACACTTTACAAGATACTCTCAGGTTGCTCACGCTGTGGTTCAAGTTTGGCGCACACGACGATGTCAGTCAGGCCATGGCCAACGGCTTCTCCGTTGTTGAGGTTGATACGTGGTTAGAAGTCATTCCTCAGGTGAGCGAAAATTAGCATTGGTCCTATTTCTTGTTGAAACGTTTCCTTAGATCATTGCCCGCATCCAAACTCCAAACGTCAATGTGCGGCGAAATATCAACAACCTTCTTACCGAAGTCAGAAAGCACCACCCCCAGGCTCTCATATATCCTTTGACTGTAGCTTCCAAGTCCTCTAGCACATCTCGGAAGAATGCAGCACCTGCAATCGCGAAGTACGAATGCGCAATGGCCTCATGTTGCTAGATGTTTTATTAAAGAGGTCAACTTTGGTTACGTCTGATTACGCTTGAGAGTGACCTCGACGAGGATGACGTTATAGCGGAATGGAAGGGTGATACTAAGGCTTTCTTAGAAATTACCCCGCCCCGTCTACTATCATTGAGGTATAGGTTGAGTCTTATCACCTCAGGATCGTCGATCGTCCTTCATACTCACAGATACAGATTGCCATCCGTCTACAGTTGAGATTGAAACCTGCCATGTACCGTCCACAGTAAGCGGTGCGTAAAGCACGTGCATTATTTACACCTCTCACCTCTTTCGTTACAGACCAAGGCACATTCGGTGTTGACTTTGATTGGCAAAGACCTTCGCTCTGTTGACAGGACAGGTAAGCTTTGCTGCGTGCACGTTGTGCCCGTTCTAAGATTATACCTAGGCAGATCTGATTCATTTGCCGTCTTCACTCTCAACGGCATAAAGGTGTTCACATCAAATTAAGCTCTAATTGGTCAGAAACGTTCGAAGTTGATGTGGTATGCCCATTTGTCATTCATCGAGATATATCTTCCACTGAATAGCATATTAGCCGATTGGAACCAACCTGAACAATCCAGGAATCTTGGACGTTATACCATCAATTTACGTGGTATTGAACCTTCGAGGCCGCCAAACAGATAATCGAGCGTGCCTCTGAAAAGCATTTACGACAAGCCGGCTTCGAATTGCTGGTGAGACAGAGGAATCATGACGATCGATTCAGACTTCTCAATGATCGAAATTAAAAACACGTCGAATCTTCTTTGCCCCTAAGTGATTCCAGTCTAAGCATGCCTTCGGTCAACTTGACTTTCCCTTCCAGGTTCTAAAACGTGGCCTTCGCATGTCCTTCTTCACTCGCCTTGCCCTTCGCAGTGTGATTCATGCACGACCCGTACTTGCGGTGTCCTCAAGACAGACCTTGGCGCTTCGTGTGAACTACTCGGCAGCAGCCAGTTTGTCGAAGGAATCCGTAGACACGCATACTAGATGTGATAAAGGGCTTCGAGAAAGTGGACATAGTCAAGGTCGGTATATTTTCTTCGATGTCACTTTATTGACTGTACTCCGTATCAACTCCCGACTTCACGGATGATCTCGGACTTGACAACTTAGACGCGGTTAAGGTCGTTTGGCAGTAGGGGAGGTACGTGTCTATGTCTGTGTTCATAGAGAGCTATATCAACACGTATTGCTTCAACAGGAGTTCGTCATGGACTCGGAGATTCCGGAGGCGGAAGTTGATAAGATCAAAACCTTACAGCAAGGTTGACAGCATCTTAGCAACACCGCCGTGGGACAGAACACAAAGGTCAGTCAGTATAATCGTCATTTGACTTTACCTGAAGCACAATTCTACTAGCATCTTTCCTCTGAAGAAACGCGTCCTAGTGGATATTGTGGGATAATTCGGTGAGTATATCGCAGCCGTGAGGGATCTATCTTAATATATGAACACCATTAGCAACGTCTGCACAAGACGAACGTACGTCGCCCAATCTTTCGATGGAACACATGTAGATCTCTTTTGCACTCTCCAAGATCGATTAAGCAGTGAATGATAATCATGTTCCATTCGACGGGAGTGACTTCGTTTCATAAGGCCTTTAAACCTTGTAGAATCATGATAAATGATTCAAGAACCTGAGGTTCGGGGTCATCAGGGACTCATATTTCCGTCGTTCGAGGCTCGAGCCGAGGGCCTGTTCGGTAGGCAACAATAAAGTCTCGATTCAGTGGCAGCATCACTGGCAGATCAGAGTGCTGGAAAGCTCCGAACACGTTCATTAAAATTGAACATGGATATGACATAAGTACCTCGAGGTGCGGACATGCACTATAATATGTAATGTTACCGCCACCGTGAAGGTGAGATTTAAATGCTTCTCGCGCCGCCGAATAACGATTGCACTCGGACTCCCTTCAAGTGCTGCTGTCCCAGTTTGTGTCGAGTACTATCGCCTGAACGGCGTAGCACTCAGACATGCCCCCAGTGCGTACGAGTAGTAAGTTTTCCTCTGTTTATCCCACTCGAAGTCATTATTAACGATCGCAACGTAACTAGAAAGCAACAGCAGTAACATAAGTCTCGACGCTATCAAGTTTTATGATCCTGCGCGTAGGACCAGAGCGCAACGCACTGCAAGGCAAAATTTCACAGTAGCCGCTCAGGCTGCAGCGGATAGCAGGTCGTTCTGTTATTACCAGGTTCCATCCCAGCAGTCTTCATCAAATGTAGCACCTCCATCGAACTCTCCATCCGTGTCGCCGTCACAATCGCCTCTTCCGCCTCCTCTTGTTCCTCCCGTTTCTCCTCTCCTTCCTGTTCCTTCTGTTCCTCCCGTTTCTCCTACTCCCGATCCTCCTCCTCCTTCTACGCCGCTGACAGCTCCTCTATCCACACCCTTGCCATCCTCTGCATCAGTCACGGTGGCTGCAGTATCGCCAGGTGTCGCTGTGGCCAAGAAGGCTGCCAATTCGGACGAGGTCTTTGAGGACATATGGGAACATTGCATAAATTTTAGCGTCTCTGAGTCAGATTGATAGTATAACTATACTAACAGTGCAGTACTAGTGACTCGGACTGCATTCTGGTGGTGCTAGTAGACGATTCAGTGATGCTTCAGTTCACCTTGTGAACATCAGTCGGAGCCCTCTCGGAGTTTAAAAATGTCGTCGATTTTGCATCCCTATTTGGCATTCCCAAATATGTTTAGCTTGAACACTGTGGCTGTTACCGACTGATAACCGTGACTGTCAGATAGTCAACAATTCCAGTACTGAGCTTGGTGAAATTTGAGGTGGGACGACCATTTGAGACCTGAACTGGCAGCGTCATTTGAGTAGTATTTGAAGGAATCGAAAGCTAGTACTAGTCCTCAAACTGCCACCGCTGACGGTCTCAAGCCTGAGAATTATTTGCGACTCGAACTTCCTGCACGTGACATTCTACTGACCCTTCCGGAGTCAGGTATATACTAGTATTTCCTCGATGGTTCGCCCTTCAAGTTACTTCTGTATGGCATTCGATCACTTGTTCCCGGAGGTAGAAAGACAGCTGCTCAAGGTTAAGGTCTGTACACTCATGCTACTTTGCACGAGTCTCACCTGCAACCAGAACTTCTCTAGCTATTCGGCCGTGGGCGGCGATGCGATAGGTGCACTCACGGAACGCGTTTCAATGGAGATTCTTACGCATAGTACGCAACGAACCATGCAGGTAGACCGTGGGTCCTGTACCATCTGAAAACCGGGTTCCATTCTTGCTCTGGGCTGGTGTTACTGTGGTGTACTCGTTCCTAGCATCGTGGTCACATGTATTGTCGTGGGTGTCCGGTATGGCCAGAGCGTTGGTATCACAATTCTAGGTGAGGCACAACTCCTTCACGATGACCGGTGCTTGAACATCAGACTCCAGTCATTGTCTTCTCATGTATGTTTAGCTTCATTGGATGCGAGAGTGCCGGCCGCACAAACATTCATCCTGTGGCATCTATCGTTGAGTGCATCTTGGAACATGTGATTCTATACTGACATCTATCTCAGAAGGTAGTACTTCTCGACTAATTTTTGTAGTATTGGCGAAGGACAATGATACTCAGTTCAGAGAGGCGAGTTCTCGAATTCGTCATCAGGAATGCTTGCTTTAGGTATGTATCATGCTTCTCTGAACTACTGCTGATATGACTCGCGATACCAAATCTACCCGTTCTTTCAGAGCGTCCCCCGAAGCTGTCTTTTACGGTCAGCTGACCGGCGCCATCGTGTCCATCTTCATGGCCGCGTTCACATTGTTTTCTCGACTGCATATCCATGCATCGGTGATCTCCCCTACACCACTTGCGACCTGATGCACGATCTTGAAGGGTGTGTTCTTATTCATGAAACTCTACCTTTCATTGCATGCTATTGACCAAATCAACAGGCAGTTGGGGTTGCGGTCTCATCATCGAGCCTTCCATCCCACCATCATCAGGGTATCCAATAGGTTTGGGTATTGCGGCTGTGATTTTGGTTGTTGCGGAGCTTACTGTCGTCCCGCTGAAATATTGTGTTTGGGTTCCGTAGGTTTCTCTGTATATTACCTCAAAACGAAACCTTACAAATTAGATATTCAGGAACTTTAATGCCATTAGCATCGGTTTCATTATGAGTGAGGAACACTTCGAAGCTATTGTATACTTCTAATGTTGTCTCCCTTTAAGATTCATGCACCTATCCATTGGCTATGTTCTTCGGCTTGACGATCGCTTTCTTCTGGCACAGAATGCAAGTATCTTTCCCGACTGCACTTTGATAAATTCACAGGTTGTTCAGGTCCTTCAACCACTATGAGATGTATTGCTTCGCCGTAGTTGCTGGGTTCATTACTGGCGAGGGCTTGGGTGGCATCGTGAATGCGGTGTTGATGGGTATGGGAGTCTCTGGTGCTGTATACGGAACGACATTTGGCTGCCGTAACTGGTCACGGTGGGCGTTTGGTTCATCATTCCGAGTCAAGTTTAAGTTAGGGCTTACTCTGTCACGGTCATCGTTTCACTCAGTATTCCTGGTATCGATACCTTCGCACATCAGAGATTTCATGGCAATTTCGGTACTGTTGTTCTGATCTTATTCTCCTAGTAATGACTCGGCTGACCTGACTTCATGCAGTCGTTATCTCCAGCCTGCCAAACCTATTAGTAAGACCTACTACGTTATGATACCATGTTTCGAGGGGTGAGCCTCGCTTAGTTACACCCACTCTCGTATCCTCATTTGGGATTGCCCTATAAGTCTCGACAATTTAGCGAACGTTATATATAATGGTCTGGCAGGCGGGTTTTTTTACTTACCCGCATCTTCTCTGCAGCCACTCTCTTCACCATCACTCTTTAATATCTACTCCTCGTTGCTCTCTATTCTTGTCGTTTCATCGTGACTTGACATTATCACTTCTGCCATGTCTGCATCAGAGCCTGACAGTGGGGCGTTGCCGCACGCCCTCGCACTTCCAGACCTCTCTGGGGCAGTACCTACCTCCTCAGAGGCCAGGGCCAAACGCCGCATCGCTGCATTGGAAGATGAATTACAGACAATGAAGCAAGAAAAAGGAACGAAGCAGAGGTTCGTCGTATGCCATCTTCCTCGCTGTCTCTCCCTCATAGATGCTCGCAGAAAGACTACATACTACGTCGCCCAAGGCCGGGCAGTTCGCCGAATGACTGTCCTTTATACTGGCTTAGAAGATTTGATCGCTGAGAACGATCGCAGATACGAGCAAGCCATGATGGACGACGACACGGCAGAAGGCACCACAGAGTAAGTCTTTTTTTAAAAAAAATAACATATTTGATTCTATTATTCAGACAAGATCGCCTACAGCGCGGCTACCTCGCGCTCGCACAGACTCTGCCATGGATGCATTCTAAGCTTGCAGAACTTGATGCCGATGAAGCTGAAGATATGTTAAAAAAGGTTCGTGTTCTCAATACTTTCACGCTGCATACTCATACTTTCATAGATCAAAAGAGGAGCCGATGCGGCCCGTGGCGACGATACATCCACTCTAAAGGATCTTGTCGCCGCCTGGGTCAATCAGGATTTTCGACCATCCTCTTTACTCAGGTCTAACGACAAACACTTGCGCGGCTTTGTACACGATATCTGTGGGATGTTGCTCTGCCCTGCAGAGTGGGATTGGAGTGATGACCGGTAAGCAATTACCTTTATGAAACTAATACATGACGCTGAAGCCTAGGCAGTGTGAAAGCTGGCATCCGCGACAGAACATCAGACTTCATCGTATCAGAAAATTCTTGGCCGGTATTTGTGTACGAGAATTACTCGTTCGACGAGAACAACCTCGAACGGGGTCTCTTTATGTCCAAGATCCTCGTTCAGGTCAGTACATCATGATCGCGTTGTACTTGCTTACTCAAACTTATTATGGTGCTAGGCTTTCAAAGCTGTATTTACGTCTCCATCCTCTGCAAGAGAGGCTGATGGCGATGGTGATGGAGCCGACATCCTCGAAAATAACCGACGCGCCAGGCGGGCATTAAATCAGGTCAAGGTTAAAACGTGCGTTGCCTCGATCATTAACATGAGGAAGGTCACCCCTCGCTCCATCGCTTATGTCGTCTGTCAAGTGAGTACAATGATTATTTACCATCAATGTCTGGCTTATAATCGTTCAGGTTCGTTTTGCGCTATCCAACGTCTCATCATGGCGCACCATTGATGGTGACTTCGATTACGAAGTATTTTGGAACAACATCGTCGATTTCTTCGAGGATGTTCCTGGCCCTGTCGCACAACGAAGGGTGAGCAAACTACTTGAATGGTGGACTAGGTAATAAGTCCTGTGGTCTGCTATGTATCATATCTAACATCACTGTTTAGAAAGATTTTTGGAAAAAATCATCGAGAAGATCTAACACCGGAAGTTGTATCTAAGATGTCCGTTACAGCGCTAGCCGAGCAGAGAAAGAGGCTGGAGGACGCTGCTTTTGACTCGGATTAACTTGACCCCCGACTTTATCTATTCGACGTAATGTTTTTAATGCAATCATAAATGTTACATTCATTGTTATACTTCGAGATCGCAAATGGGAAGGAATGATTTTCAGTGATGATGATAAACTTTTTAATGTGCAATCTACTGCAAGATTTGTTGCACCTTTCAATTCTATCAAATCAGAGATGCTTTGTAGGTGACACAACTCGGGCAGACATCAGTATATTCAATTACACTTAAGCGGATCATGCAATTCCATCTTTGTAGTGTTCAGTCTCCAGGTGACAGATCATTTTGCCACACCAAATTTGATGTATCCAGTGTACCAGTGGAACGAAGCAATGATTGTTGTCACCATTACTTGTATATACCGATGCTGGTCAGTATGCAACGGCTTGCCCTGCGAACGCAATCGTAGGATTGTTGTCACAATTATTTGTATATACCGATGCTGATTAGTATGAAACCACTTGCCCTGCGAACGCAATCGTAGAATCGTGCAACTTCATATAGATTTTTGCTAGGCTTCCTAGCAGAGAAATTTCTGGTGGTATTCAGAACAGGCGTGAATTATCATTCGTATTTGTCGAGGCTGATCAGTACGAAACAACTTGCCGCGCAAACGCAATTCCAGAATCGTGCAACTTCGTATGAATTCCTGCCAGGCTTCCTGGCAGAGAATATTTCCGGTCGTATTCCGAACAGGCATGAATTTGGTGGTTTGGGGCATTGTGCTTAGCGCTTGCCCTGTCTTTAAAACGGACTGATATGGTATGCTTTGTACAAAGTAATCAGCAGTGTCAGAGTTGTGCAAAGTAATTACCAGTGTCAGAACGATACATTACAAATGTTTCCAGAACAGCGCCACCAAATGTCTGAGCTATTTGCTGTGTATCAATTCTGTGCGATCGCTATGTCGTTGCTCAGACACATAAATATATATATATATATTCAAATCGGGTACCTTCGTCGGTAAATGTCCTATGGGCTGGTATGTATTTTGATGTGTGAACACGCACCATAGTTTCTTGCTGTCCCCAGATCTGCGATAGTTCCTGCACACATGAAACGCACCTCTTGCATTACAGGTTTGAGTTGCACAAAATTAAATTGCGGATGGAGCACGATCGCCAAAAAATGTCGAATGTAGCAGACTGCCAATATCTGGCTGGAATATGCAAGTACCCCGTGACTGTGTGAATTGGGTATCACAAGCAAAATTATATACAATCTCAGCTATCGTAGGTTGAGTGCAAACTGCTAAACAACACCGGAAGCACACAGTGAGCCGAACACATTGATGACGGATGCACTATAGAGTAGTCACAAGAGTCTGTGCGAAGGACATCGTGGATGTCTCAGTCGGCCTAGACAAATGTCCGCCACATAGGAATCGAGTGCCTTGTAGGCAACCAACTGAAAAGGCTGTCGAACTCCAACTCGCGTTTTCTCATTATACAATCAAATATGAAGAACAGACACTCACAAACGGGGTGAACTGTTTCGGCTTTCACATGAAGTGGTCTGTGCTAACTAATATTCACACAACTGAAGTAATGTATACCAATCATGGGCGGCAACGTCTGTGCCGATGTTGATAATTCTAGACTACAACTAACTTCCTTAGCCTGAGTTTCGTATTTTTTTTGCGTTAAAATCCACTTGGAGGATAGTGTCTTGAACGCACCAGGACTTGATGGGTCATCTTCGAAACGCATCCTTCCCACATAAGGTTACATATTTCCATGTCAAACCCCCCGCCACATTTGTGAACATTGGTGTGATTGTTATCAATATATGGTATAATATAGTATTTTAATATGTTCATCAGTTCACTGATGTGCGAGGCGCTGACGTTCTGGAATATCAGATTGATAGTGACGCATGCCACTGGTGAAAACTCGGTTAATAGTTAGGTCGATGACTCAAGGCCGAAATTGACAGGCATAGGTGGATAACGTGGACAGCTCAGGTAAAAGGTATATGCGTTTAAAATTTGTCTTCAATGAAGCTGATGCCTTTGCCATAACGGCGCTCGGTCATGCCAGGTCCGGGTCCGAGTCCCCGACAGCTAGTACTTATGTGACCATGCATGACTGCGAACAAGTAAGTATAGGCCTAGGTCGAACGAATTCATTTGACAAAGCCCGGTGACGCCCGGGGATTTGAATGGCGGATGTCATCTACTGTACCGGCTCACATAAGCATCAGGGTTTGATACAGTTTAGTGATGCCAGTGCACTGCACGTCGATGGAGTGTTGAACCTACTGCTACGTTCTTACCCGGCTTCAAGTTCTACTGATTATATTGTTTAACATGCCGGTATAACAGTACGACTCGACCCCCGTGAACCAAATACTATGTGTTTGCGCACAGGCACCCCCAGGTCAAAACTTTTTCTGGCTCTCTTTAGCGATGCAATATGATTTACTCCACCCGCAGTAGACACGGGAACTAGTATGGTTTTTCATGATGGAAGATCCAGTGAAAACAAGTTAGTCGCCGACTCGGAAATTAGGATGTTCACTTTTTTCTTTCCAGTGTAGATTCGGGATCGGTCTAGTTTTTCCAGTGTGTGGCGGTGAGTCATGACGAAAACCCCTACTTCGGTAAAACCAAGTGATGGGCAGGTATTACACACACATGGTACTCGTGTTGACAATAAAAGGTGACATAAATGATACGAATTTCGTCGTCATTCGTCCACCAGGTTCGCTGCTCACTCACTCACACTCTCTGACAGTATGACCATAATCTCAAATGATCCCAGCTGGTGGCCACTCATCAATTCACATATTCTTTTCAGCTATTTTATGGGTTCGTACTAGTAGAGAGCTGGTCTGGTGACAATGGTGATATACTGATCTAACCTTCGCTGCATTTCCACAGTTGCTGTCTCGACTGGCGTAATATACGATTGGGGTGAGCAAGGTTGTATGAAACAGTTATTGATATCTGATGGTTCTCCAGCACTTGCATTCGGACAAGAGGTAGGCTGACGCCATCACCGGAATAGTCTCATCTCTAAGAATAATTTCACAGGTTGAATTGATTTGGGTGAGCAGAGCGTCTTATGTCTAAAGAACGACAAAACAATACTATCAATCTGCAACAGAAGCAACACTGGTCCCTGATGACAGTCCTGTATCTCACTGTATGTAGCTCGCGCTATAAGTCTGCTCAACAAATTGAGCTGATGTGATGATGTCCTAGGTGCGCTACATTGGAGTAATGTATGCTGGGTATGTTCGGAAAGTTAAGATCCGGTGTTGCGCTGATCGTTCATCTCTCACCATCAGCATGAACATAGAGAGTGCGTCTCTTCACATGCATCATTTGTTGCTTCTGACCAGCGGCATACAGTGGCTATTCAGATAATACCTCTGAAAGATGCAGTGAGCATTCCGTACTGATGTCTTCCCTTCCATACTCGTCTAATCAATCATCATGTAGGGGTGAGCGACATTCTTGGACAGCTTTCTGATCCATAATAATGATTGCTACAGTTGTGAGTTTCTTTGGAGCATGTGATCCTCTGAAGCTTATCGCTGACCGGATGTCCCAGGCCTTTACATGTACTTCGCGCTATATTGGACGATGTGGGTCCTAATTGCAATACTTGGTGGTGAGCCTACACGATTGCAATACCTCGACTTTACTGAAATATCATGCAAAGTCATCATGATTGCTCGGTTACATGCCATGTATCAACGATCCAGAAAGGTTCTGGTACTCCTCGTTGTTGTCTTCACGGCCATCATTGTCACCGACATAGTGATGCTCACAATAAATATGAAGTATATTTCAGCGGGTGAGCTTCAATTATGGATCGAAAAATTCGAGTGCTTCAGGCTCATTGATAAATTTCAGAGCAAGTCATTCTCTCTGGTACCTATCAGTGCGTTGCTGACAATTCCCGACCTTTCAACATCATCTCCTGTATCCTCACCGGTGTGTGGGAGATCTTCACACTGTGTCTTGCAGTCCGGATTGCTCTAAAGCACTTTCGCGAATTGCGACAACACTCGGCGGGAGGTGTTATCAGGGACTGTTTCACGGTGTTAATGAAAACTCACTTGAGTTACTTTGTGAGGTGAGCCGATAACGCGAACATGGTTATATTTTCCGTTGAAGTTCTTCACATACCAGCTCCGTTGTAGTTCTATGCTTCAACCTCGGTTATTTTTCGCCAACGATGCCAAAGGTACGCCAATGTGTCACTGACTTCCGCATGCAACCATGCTTCATTGATGCGTCATTTCCCATAGGACCCATACTCCCCAGCAATTCTGACTTATTTTGGCTTTCTTGAAATATTCACCATTGTGCAGTCAGCTGTACTGGGACCACGGCTGATCATCAGTGTTCGAGAATATCACGCCAAGCTCATGTTCGACCCCGATGCAGGACCTAGCCTGGTTTCAGTTGCTTTCCAAGAATCTGTGCATGTATCCACTAGCAATATTGTGTAACACGGGAGATGTGTAATATGAATTACACTATGAACGTCAGGCCCCCGCAAGGAAGAGAATTTGATTATATTCATAGGTTCTTGTTGCATCACTACGGGTACTGGCCATTGCCCACAGCGAGCGTATCAGGGAAGACCGAGACCAGCATAAGTGCCTTTGAGAATGATGGTTGGTTCAGGAGCAGCCTGGAGTTCCTTACTCGATATTCACGCGCAAGTTTCATACGTCTGAGCGAATGAGGAGGCATTAAGTTATTGGGATGACGTGGAAGTAACCCGAACGAGAGTGAGCCTTTTCATACGCATATCATAGGCGAATGTTTTATCATGACAGGGCTTATAGTGGCAAAGGGGAGTGAGAACAGGAGATGGATATACTAGATCTGTCATATGATAGGCTGTTGTTCGAGTGAAGTACAAAACTGTAGAGTGAGCGACGCTTCTAGACCATGATTGGTCTGGATTGCCACTGCGAGCACTTCTGTGGGCTGTGAAGACACTCAACAAGAGGTATTATTGTGGACTGTTTCACGG